ATTGTTCGAAAATATCAACAAGGAAACCTAGTTTCAGAAGCCAAATAGGATCAGAAAATTGATTTTCATATGGGACCCCTCTCATCTTTCAAATACATTAAAAGCTCTGCTCTTAAGTGAAATACTCTTTTTAAGACATTGTCCCTTGAAAGCGGGTGTGATAAAGAAGATTTTTCATAGCACAGCCCATTTCAGGAGGTAAAGCTTTTGACGCAAGAGCTTCTCGATGTAAAAAATAATGTGGCGTTAGGCATTATTTCTTGTAATCTGACGACAAACCTATCATAGCTTTAATGCCATCTATGCATATAGCAATACATTTTCCCTAGTCAATATCATATTTACTTGTGGGTTTCACAAAAGTATCGAATAAACATTTTCCATTGGGGGAACAAAATAAAATATCTTTTTAAATGCCATTATTTGTATCATATCTTACAAACATAATAAATTGGGTATCGTTAGATATAGCTATGGATTCTTCCATTTGAAGAGAGAAGTACGTGCTTTTATTAAGATTTTCCACAACTTACGCTTGAATATCTTCTGCCATATCACTAAAATTCTTCTTTGGATAATATTATTTGACAGCCTCTTTTTCACCAAATATTATAGGTATTTTCCTTTGCATCGAAATTACAGCACTGAGCTACGTTACTTCTGAAAATATCGTTCCATCCATCAATTTTTATACACTTTCGATGCAAAGGAAAATACCTAATATGTACCATTTCAACAGCTGCTGGCAAATTCAGATTTTCAGAAATGGTGCGCGGGTTACTAGTTTTATCAACGCGGTAAGCAACTTTAAAATTTCACGCCATTGAGAAGTGTATCCAGTTTAACATCGAGAGAAACTATCATAGACAAGAGATTATCATCATGTCCGATAGCCAAGTAGTCATTAAAGCGCTGAGCTTTTACGTAATCAGCTCAAAAATGGTCTGGAGATGCCTAGAACAATTGAATGGGCTAGGCGAGAAAAATAGTACTCTCACTTGGGTCCCGGGACATAACGGGGTACATGGTAAAGAAATGTTGATAGTCTTTTTTTTTCCTGGGCTCGTCTGACTATGTGTCTCCGAATAACACAAGCCTATTGGCTTATTGTGTTTTACCCCATGTTAGTTCATAGCACCCACTCTATCACCTTTGTACCTAGTACAAGTTTGTACAGATCCTTGGGTGAGTGGGTTCTATACGTTGTTGGATCAACCATGGGGTTGTCCAAAAAGCCTGTCTTTTGCGATCTAGAGCTTCGCATTCGCACAGTATGTGTTTGGCCGTTTCTGGTTTCTTGTGACATAGTCGGCACATGAGTTCTCCATTGTACATGCCAATTTTGTTCAAGTGTCCCCTTTACTGGGGCGTGCCCAGTCATGAACCCGGTTATTACTTTCAACTGGTTCCTATTCATTAAGAGTAGTTCTCCAGTTCTTTTGGGACATGGTCTGCCCATGAAGGCTTTTCCATGTGCCTGTTTTGGGGTGCTTCCCCAATAGTTGATATGTTGTTCCCGAATCCAGTCATTTATAAAACCCCGGACTGTACTTTTTGGTACTCCTGGGTTTGTGTCTGGTTCCGGTGTTTCTTCTGACCCTCTTTTTGCAAGTACGTCAGCCTTTTCGTTGACTTCTATCCCTTTGTGACCTGGCACCCAAAATAGTTTTACTCTATTTCGGTCTGCCAGTGTTCTTAGTTCTTCGATGCATTCCCATACCAGCCTCGACGTAACTTTCTGACTCGATATGGCCTTAAGTGCCGCTTGACTGTCTGACATTATTTGAATATGCTGATTTTCGACAGCTCTTTCATTGTTCGTTTTTGCACATTGCAAAATTGCGTATACCTCGGCCTGAAATACCGAGGAATGTATTCCTATAGCATAGCTATGGTTAGTATCAGGGTTTTTGGAGAATACTCCTGCCACAGTGCCTTCCGCAGTCTTAGACCCGTCTGTATACCAGGTTTGTTCCTGTCGTTGGGCATTGGGCTCCCTTATGGTGATCTCCGCTCTTTCCTGTATTAAAACCTCAAAGGGAGTATTAAAAGAGTACCTCTTGGTTATGTGGTCTGATCTCATGTCTAGCACGTCTCCTGTCACTAACCTTGAGATACTCATGTGACCTGGCCTAATGTCAAGATTTCCCAGTGTATTCCCTAATCTGTAAGCAACTAATCTTGCCTCCCCTTGTATCACATAGTGAAGAGGTGGGAGTCCTATTAGTGCTTCCATTGCAGCAGTGGGGGTTGTTTTCATTGCCCCCGTTATTCCGAGACAGGCAAGTCTTTGTACCTTGCTTAGCCTCGTTATTGCTTTCCTTTGCTGTGTCTTTGGCCACCACACCAAAGCTGCGTATGTTATTATGGGTCTCACCACAATGTTATAAAGCCAGTATACCATGTCTGGTTTTAACCCCCATTTTTTTCCAAAGGATCGCCTTGCCATCATTAATGAGGTTTCCGCTCTCCTTGTGGTTCTTTCTAGATGCTGGTTCCAGGTAAGTCTCGAGTCAATCATAACCCCGAGATATTTTACCTCCTCCTTAAGCTGGATGCTTGCACCTCTTAGGTTTAGAGGCCCTAATCCCTCCAATTTCCTCCTGCAGGTGAATGCAATTATGTCAGATTTGTTTGGGCTAATGTTTAGTCCTTCCGCCTCTGTGCATTTTGTTACTATATTTAGAGCCTCTTGCATTCGATCTCTTACTATAGTGTTGTATTTTCCCTGTGCCATGATCACTAGATCATCGGCATATCCCAGGGTTCTATGTCCCTTATCTTTGATAGCCCTAAGCAGCCCGTCCACTACAAGGTTCCACAGGAGTGGAGATGGCACTCCACCCTGTGGACATCCTCTCGCTACCCGTGCCGCTGTTGTCTCTCCCATAAGGGTTGTGTGTATAGTTCTCTCCCTTTACATAGAGTCGATCCAGGACACGCATGTGTCCTCGATTCCTCTGTGTTTGAGAGATCTAATGATTGATTCAACGGAGGTATTGTCAAATGCACCCTCGATATCCAAGAATGCTCCCAGCATTACCTCCTTGTTTTCAGTGTGTTCTCCACCCTTTTTATTAGTTGATGGAGAGCTGTTTCAGTTGATTTCCCTGCACTATAGGCGTATTGGTCTTGGTATATTGGCCTTTGAACTAATATCCCGTCTCTAATATGCCTATCTAGCAGTTTTTCCAAAGTCTTTAAGGACATAAGACTTATTGGTCTTAGGGACTTTGCCGTTTCCTGTCCCATTTTCCCAGGTTTTGGTTGGAGATTATCATCATGTCCGATAGCCAAGTAGTCATTAAAGCGCTGAGCTTTTACGTAATCAGCTCAAAAATGGTCTGGAGATGCCTAGAACAATTGAATGAGCTAGGCGAGAAAAATAGTTACTCTCACTTGGGTCCCGGGACATAACGGGGTACATGGTAAAGAGATGTTGATAGTCTTGCAAGCACTCCCAAGCTTTCGGAGTGCTTGGTTCTCGGCCCTTACACTCCCATTCCAGTTGTTTCTATGGTTTTGGAACCGTTCGTATACCACTGAATAGCATGTCTTTCGGTTTCAAGCGCAATGGATTCTTGGCTCCATTCTTTCTTGCAGCCCAGCTCTGTGGCTTTGAAGTTTTTCACAAAGCTGTACTTTAGCATTTCATCCTGGAGCATGTCCCAGGTATCTTTAGTCCTGAAGCAAGTAAGACTTTCGTCTGATTACTCCGTTCCTGATAATTCTATATCGTGTCCTTTTTGCCACATTCTCTATCATCAAATGTAGAGGGGTGCGGTTTAAGATCACCTCTATTGCGGCCGTAGGGCAGGTTCTCATTGCACCGGTGATGCAAACACAAACTAGTCTTTGTACTTTTGAGATATTAGCTCTCGTAGTAGCTAAACTAGTTCTGTTACTTCAGGCTATAGCCCCGTAAGTGATGATTTGCCTCACTATTGCAGTATACATCCATCGCAGTATATTTAGGTTACATCCATCGCAGTATATTTGGGTTACATCCCCATCGTTTACAATGTTTCTGCATACCATTAGAGGTTTTGCGGCCTTATTTACTACTTCCTTCTTATGTGTGTTCCAGAGAAGTTTGTTGTCCAGAGTTAGGCCTAGATATTTGACTTCATTTTTCCATTCTATATCTATCCCGTCTAATTTAACGGTTTTGAGATTGTTTTCTTTTCATTGAAAAGGCTACTAGTGTTGTTTTTGTAGGGTTTATACTAAGTCCCATTTCACAGCACCATCTTTTGGTATGTTCTAGTCCTCGTTGGACTATATCACACAGGATATTTCCAAACTTGCCTTTAGCAAATATGACTATTTCGTCGGCATAACTTTGACAGGGTATGCCGAGTCAGTCAATCTGCATAGAAGTTCGTCTATGGTTAGGCTCCACATTGGTGGGGATAGAACTCCTCCTTGTGAACATCCTCTGGTTGTGCAGATGGAGATGGTGTCCTGCACTATCTGTGTCTCTGTAGTTCTCGTAGATAACAGCTGAGCCATCCACCTGGATCATCAGTGTAAAGTTAGTTTTTATTTTTATGACCTATATAACGATACATTTAAAACAATCCAACAAATTTTTGAAATACTAAATTTAAAATATTTTAAAACTACTCTTTGTACATCAATTAAAGCCTACGTCACTGATTTTCATAGTAAATAATCCCAAATCAATTTATTGAATTTTTTTAATATTACAAATTTCCTGCTTGATTATGGAAACTTTTTATCAATAATAGAATTTTTTTGTGAAAAGTAAGATAAACTTTTTTCTCATTTGTATAAATCTTTTTGGGGCATACTGTATATTTGCTTTGTAGGAGAATTTCCCATTAACCCTAGGGCATGCTTTATTTTTTTTTATTTTCAATCTGTACCATATTTCGATTATTTACCTCTGGTTGCTTATAATTTCTGCCTGCAGTTGCATTAGATGTTCTAAATTTTATCCGCGACTACAATCTACCTGTCTGTGAATTAATTTTTAGGCCGTTGTGGTTGTATTGTAGGAGGAGAGAAAAGAACGGAGGACAAATTGCTAAAAGCGACAAAGGACAGTTGCAAAACGACCATAGAAATCATACACGGACTGATGGCGCAGATGGTCAAAGATAGGTTGTTCAATAGCGTCACTCCGGCTAGCAGTGTCGCCTCGGAGCTACAATAGTTTCAGGGAGACGGAAAGTCTTGGAGTAAGACGAAATTGTCGATTTCATTGAAAAATATATTACTAATTTAATATTTTTGATTTTGTTTAGTTATAAGGTTGTCCTTCGTGTAATTGTTTTAAGAATTTTTACAATTTAGGTTTTGTATAAGATTCATTAAAATGTAAAAATTTGATCGTTTAATGATTTTATAAGATAATAAATTATAAAATATACATTTTTTCTTCTATCCAAAGCGTTATATCACAATATTATTACTAGGTAAGCCACTGGAGTTGAGATAGGTCACCGACTAAAATTGGCAGTATTAATTTTTAGACATCAGACACTCTTGTCATTTAAAATGTGCATGTATTTCAATACCGCACTGAATACAGAATTTCTACTCAAGTTGGAATCATGTGGAATTTTTTTTATTATAATTATTTTTAGAAAAAAGGTTATTTTTATTGAAAAGTTCAGTATGGTTTAAAATCCAAAGTGTAACTATAATATATTAAATTTTTTTCTTCGTATGTAAGGTTTTTAGAGCTTTTTAATGCATGATTTCAAGAAAATTATATTAGTTATAATTATTCTTTGTACATGTTAAGAATACCCTTAACATAAATAATTTAAGACCGCCCCTGTAACATTCAATAAATCAAATCTAGTTTTAGTCCAAGTGGTGGGTTTCTATTCGCAAAATGTCGGAAAGAAATGAAATTTGGTTACATGGGTCCCCTGATATTACACCTAAGTTTGCGACCTCGGGGGGTTGCCGCTCAAGGAGTGAAGGGATGAAAACTCTGCATCGCGACGCTTTTCGGGAAATATCGCCGTTGTAGTAAGTGCTATCAAAAAAAAGTTCAAATGAAATATGTACAGGACAAAATCGTGCACAATTTTGACCTGTACATTTTTTGTCTGCGACCAACAGTTCCCGCTCTACGACGCGTCAAAGTAGGGGTTGATTTGCAATGTTGAACAAAATGAGAATTTCAGCGCGGATTAAGACGAAGATCGCTATGAAACAATTATGTAATATTTTTTTTTAAAAGAGCAATGATTTCTGAGTTTGCAGATGCCCGATTTGATACATTTGGTCGTATATAATAAATTATATGATGTTTTGAAGCGCGCCCCTACATATTACGATATAAACATTTTGTAATTATCAGTATCAATATTTCCTTATTATTGTTGACCTAGGCGCCAAATTTATTCTTTTTGTGCATACATGATACAAGAAAGTATCATTTTCAACTCGTTTCCACCCCACTCTTGAGGTAGAGTTAATCGGCGCGTGTTTTTTAACGTGGTATCCCAAAGAGCAGTGTTGCCGTTGCTATTACAATTGTAACAAATCTTTTACTAAAAAGTTACACCAGTACGTTATTACGACTTTTAAGAAAAGGGGTAAAAATCTATTACTTTTTAAAATATCGAAATTTTGTGAGTGGGCTCCATCCAAACTACATAGTATTTGGAAATCTATACATTTGTTATTTCTGTGTTTTCTTGTTTCAACAAATCCAAGATAGGCGACACTTTATTACATTGTATTATTTTTTTTTTTTGTTATGGGTCAGTTTTTAATTTAGTAGGGGATTACCACCAGCATATTTATGTATTGTTTTTAATAACGTAGACCCCTTTAAGACTTTGAAGAAATATTAAATTACAAAAATTTACCCTTAGGTGAATTTTAGGTTAACATCTTTCAAATAAAAAAATTCACTGGATAAACCAAATATTCAAAATTTAAAAAAATTAATTTGTGGTTTATTTTCATTGCCCCATTCTTTTGCAGCATCAGAAATAATTTTCTCTCAACCAAATAATATTAAAGTTTTATTGTTAAATGTATTTAATAGGTAATAGTTCTAATACATTTATTTACTTTAAAATATTATCTGTTACGATTTTATTACCTTTTGGTTCAAAATTCTATTACGAAAAAATTAATTGGTGTGGCAACACTGCCAAAGAGGCCTAATCCACAGTCGATATTTGGGTTTATTCGTCAAATTCGGTGTTGTATGTTTGGTCCTCATCGTCCTGTAACTGATCGTGAACGTTTTCGGCATCTTCTGCATTGTCGTCGTCTAACGCAATCTGATCCCGAATGTTTTCGCAGGTCATCCCATTCCAGTTAAAACAGAATCGAACATTTTAATCCTATTTTAAGGCAACCACAAACAGATTCACAACCTTTCTTGCACCTGCACGAGATGCTCTTAAATAAAACATCTGAAGCTGGTTCCTTTGCCATCCGTACTGCGTCCAGTCCTGTGGTTGTTCTTCGCCATCCATGATCTTCTTGAGGTTTCTGAACTCTCCGCCAGCTCTGTACTTGACAATAAGTTAAATTTAATATACCCCGTCTAAATTCTAAAACCAACAAGCTATTCGAATGCCCTAGGGCAAAAACCAACTTAATGTTAAAATCACTCTTATACAGGGTGATTTTTTGAAAAGGATCCACCCTCGATAACTTCGTTCTCGTCTTGATTCAGGTAAAATCCAAAAACAGGTCAATTTTTATCCTTAGGGGGACACATTTTTAGATGGAAATCTTGTACTTGAAGAAAATAAGCTTTTTTTTAGCAAGATGGAGCCCCACCTCACTTCGCTGTGAATGTTCGGAACTGGCTGAATCAAAGATTTCCGCATCATTGAATTGGCAGGCGGGGAGCAATAGAATGGCCTCCACGGTCACCAGATTTGATAGGACCAGATTTTTTCCTCTGGGGGCACTTAAAATCTGTTGTCTTCAAAACTCAACCAGCAGATTTAGTGGAGTTGCGACAACGAATAACTGACGCATGCAGAAGAATTCCTAGAGAAACCTTTCAACGGGTGAGAGAGGAATTTGAAAACCGCCTTTACTACTGCATGGAGAATAACGGTGAGCACTTGTTGTGATTTTGCTTCCTTTCACTCTAATCCGTTTCTTCTCGTTTTATAAACAATTAATACGATTTTTATTCCAAAAATTAACCAATTAAAGCGAAATGTAAATCTATTTATTGCAATTTGTCTTTTTTCTTGAACCACCCTGTACAAAACGAAATAATTCTTACATGGTCGTATGATAAATGCAAAAACCTTTCCAACGAGGGGTCACTCGGCCCCCTTGCTATTGAAGGTTTTTGAGGTGGGGGCTGGTGGGGCCATGGGGTTGATCCGACAAAATCAGTTGTGATCTAAAAATGTGTCCCCCTAAGGATAAAAATTGACCTGTTTTTGGATTTTACCTGAATCAAGACGAGAACGAAGTTATCGAGGGTGGATTCTTTTCAAAAAATCACCCTGTATGTAATGTGTAACAATTACAGTAAAATTAGTTATCAATGCGATATTTTTCATTGTTCTCTTGGTGAATTAATTAAAAATGCATTCTTTGTTTTATTTTGGTAAAAAAAAATTTAATTTTCTTTAATATTTTCTTGGCTTTTTCTCAATATTTATTTGTATTTTAGTATAGTTTTTATTTAGCTACTTAAATTTACTTTTCGTGTTACATCACAACCTATAAGTAGAATTACTTTTACATTGACCGTTTTTGTGTATCTCTGTCCTCTTTACCTGCCTGTCCCTAGCCAATGTTCGATTTATGTTTAGACATATGCTTTGTGTAGTTATACAAATAATAAATAGTAATAATATACGGCTCAGGCAAAAATTCTTTTCATTGCTACATAATAAAAGTTTGAATAAAATTTGCAATTTTGTCAATAACGAACGCCTACAAGAGGCGGGTACCACCTTTTATTTTGATGTAGCTAAAATAATAGACGGTATCTACCTCTTTTAGCCGTTACATATTGAAAAAATTGCAATTTTTTTCCATAATTTACTATGTAGCACGGAATGGAATTAATATATTACATACTCGTAAATAATAATAAATAATAAGTTGAGGCCGAACAAGGGGCATGTATGCTATACCACAAACAGGATATTCATGACAACTAATGCACAAAAATAATAAATTTGCCGCCTAAGTCAACAATAATAAGGAAATATTGACTGTAGATTCTGATAATTACAAAATCTTTATATCGAAGTATGTAGGGGCGCGCTTCAAAACATCATAGAATGTATCAAATCGGGCATCTGCAGACTTAGAAATCACTAGTATTTTTGAAAAAAATATTACATAATTGTTTCATAGCGATCTTCGTCTTAATCCGCGCTGAAATTCTCATTTTGTTGAACATTGCTAATCAACCCCCTACTTCAGCGCGTCGTAGAGCGGAAACTATTGGTAGCAGACAAAAAAATGTAGAGGTCAAAATTGTGCACGATTTTATCTTGTACATATTTCATTTGAACTTTTTTTCGATAGCACTTACCACAACGACGCTATTTCCAGAAAAGCGTCGCGACGCAGAGTTTTCATCCCTCCACCCCTCGAGCGACAACCCCCCGTGGTCGCAAACTTAGATGTAGTATTAGGGGACCCATGTCTATCATCCCACCAAATTTCATTTCTTTCCGACCTTTTGCGAATAGACTCCTCCTTATTCTTTACCCACCAGTGTTGCCAGTCTAGTACAATTGTACTAGATCTAGTACATTCTCTGAGAATCTGGTACTCTAGTACACTCGAAACAAAATCTAGTACTTTTTCAGCGTAGGTATGTTTCCATTTGAAGTGTAAAATATATTGGTCAAAAATTGCAAGAGAAATCAAAATAGTTGTTAAAAATTACTTCAGAGATAAAATAGTAGACATTTCTCGAGAGATAAAACATTGTTTAAAAATTGCACGAGATCAAATATTGTTCAAAAATGGCTTGAGAGGTAAAAAATTGGCCGAAGTATAAAATAGTATTAGAAATTGCTTGAAGGGTAAAGTATTGTTCAAAAATTTCTCTAGGGATAAAAATACTATTAGAAATTTAATGAGAGATGAAAATATTTAATAATTTTTTGAGAGATTAAATAGTATTGTAAATTGTTAAAATCGTGTTCAAAAATTGCTCGAGGTAAAATAGTATTACAAAATGTTAAACCCTTGTTGAAAACTTTGTTGAGAAATAAAATATTGTTCAAAATTGACTTAAGAGATACCTACTATTAGAAATTTCTCGAGAGATAAAGCATTGTTTAAAAATTCCTCGAACGATAAAATACTATTAGAACATGCTCAAGAGATAAAATATTGTACACATTGCTCGAGATAAAAAACAATGTTAAAAATTTATCGAGAGTTAAAATATTTTTATAAATTTGTCTAGAGTTAAAATATTGTGCAGTTTGCTAAAGAGATAAAAAAGTTGTTAAAAATTGCTCGAGAGATAGAATAATGTTATAAATTTATCGAAAGATAAAATATTG